TTTAGAGGTTTAGGGTTTAGGTGTTTAGGGTTTGGGGGGTTGAGGGTTTAGGGGTTTAGGGTTTAGGGTTTAGGGGTTTAGGGTTCAGGAGTTTAGGGTTTAGGGGTTTAGGGTTTAGGGTTGTTAGGTGTTTAGGGTTTGGGGTTTAGGGTCTAAGGTTTGAGTTTGGGGTTTATGGGGCTCCTTTTGAGGGTTCGGGGTCAGGGTTAATAGGGCTAAGGATTTGGGGGTTTTCAGGGGATTTCCCACATTTCAAGGGTTTTTGCTCCTTTGAGGGTTCATAGGGCTTTGCGTTCAGGGTTTAGGGGTGGAGGGCTTGGGAGTTTAGCGGGATATCATTGCATGGCAATACCATACCGTTGACCCCAAGGGCATTGCTTGATGATTTCAAACCTGCATTACCCATAACCAGGAATATACCATAATTTCCATAGTTTAGGGGTCCTTCAGGTCATGCAAGGTTCATATCATGAACAGTATAAAACCCTAAACCCTAAACCCTAAACCCTAAACCCTAAACCCTAAACCCTAAACCCTAAACCCTAAACCCTAAACCCTAAACCCTAAACCCTAAACCCTATCCTTTAAGGGTGCCTTTTTTGCTACAAGCATTGCTTTCAGGGGAGTTCGGGAAGAGGATCCTTGGGCCTTCATCTTTCGGGCACCCGGTTACCCAGTGAGTCCCAACATAGGGGCCTGAACATGTTATAAATAACAACTAGAAAAACAATGAACATGTCATAAATAGACAACAAATATATATATATATATATATATATATATATATAGAGTTGTGTACTTGATAGATAGATAGGTAGTAGGTAGGTAGATAGATAGATAGATAGATTAGACAGATAGGTAGGTAGGTAGGTAGGTAGGTAGGTGGGTGGGTAGGTAGGTAGGTAGGTAGGTAGGTAGGTAGGTAGGTAGGTAGGTAGAGAGGTAGATAGATAGATAGATAGATAGATAGATAGATAGATTAGACAAATGGATATTTCTAAGGGTTTTCTTATTATATGCTAATATCGATACTAAAGATACCCCAAACCCGGCTCTGATCCTCAACACACCTCGAGCCCACGCACCCTAAACCCAAGAAGCCTCACACACGGTAACCTTTAGGATTTAGGGTTTAGCAACCCCAAACCCTAATCCCTAAACCCTAAACCCAAAACCCTAAACCCAATCTAGCGGTTTCTTTCGTGCTTGACAGTTGGGGTGGCAGGCGCAATTCGCCGCGAAGCTCGTGAAGAAGGACCTGAGCTTTAGGGATTAAGTACTTCAGGGCTTAGGAGTTCTAGGGTTTAGGGTTTAGGGCTTAGGAGTTCTGGGGTTTAGGGTTTAGGGCTTAGGAGTTCTAGGGTTTAGGGTTTAGGGCTTAGGAGTTCTAGGGTTTAGGGTTTAGGGCTTAGGAGTTCTAGGGTTTAGGATTCAGGCTTTAGGAATTAATCACTCGTATAGTAGTAGAGTGGCTGTATGTTGAGGTTTCGTCCGGGGTTTCGAGTATAGGAAACGGAGATCGCTGCTGAAAAGTTTGTGGGTCTGGGTTCACCTTATACCCTAAACCGAAGTTTGTTTAGAGGGAAGGGCTTAGAGTGCGGAGGGCTCTGCAATATATCCTCTGCAGCCCCCAGTGCCCCGCAACCTCCCCCAAGCCAGGGATTGTAAACCCCAAAGCCCTAAACCCAAACACGCGCGTATCTGGCCATGTGCTTTTCCTAAGATTCGGCTATCTTTCGGTGATTCCTCTTTCAGGGCAAAGGGGGTTGGGGGGTTGAGCGGGAGGGGAGGGGTTGGGGGTAGGGGGAAAGGGGTGGTTAGCGACAGCTCGTGCCGGCGATGTCGGCTTCCCGAAGCTCGAGGACTTGTGCATGACGGCGGGTTTGGACAAACAGGTCATCATGTTCTTGCGAGATAGGGGGATCACAAGTTCGGGAGTGTTGTTCCACATGTTCGCGGACCGCAAGAAGATCGTCACAACCCTCAAGCCGCTCAAGATCGAGGTAAAGATCGGTGATGTGTGGCGGCACTTTGGTGGCGATTGTATGTGCGCTGCTAACGTTAGGCGTGGCGCTATCCTTGCTACGGGGTCAACGACGTCCAGCTAATGGAAGCCGTGCTGCCCCTCGACGGCCTCGCCGTGGCCGACAATGCCATCACATACAGTGATCAGGGCTACGGCAACACATTGATGGCGGGCTAGCATCTCAGCTCAGCATTTCGACTGGCCTGAGCTGGAACAAATGCCTTATCGCCCGTTCGAGGGAGCTGTTTTTGCGACTGTAGCAGAGTTTCGGTGCTAATGTGTTTTGGTTACAGCTGGCGACATTGACGACGGAGACCTTGTGCAGGTGAGCTTCAACAAGAAGCTTGTTGCTCTCGTGCGTGGAACCGGACCGGGTGTCCATCGCCTTGGCCCGCTATTCCGGCGCCTGCAAGCCGACGTCGTGGGGTCAATGACGGAGCCACGCACCATCTGGCAAAGTGACCTTGTGGAACAGCGAGGCCATGCTTTCATACCGTGCTATTGCAGTTGGTTTGGAAAGTAGGTAGCCTGGCCTTGCAAGCTCTGTCGGTTAACACATGCACTGCTTGGCATCGGATTGCCAGGCCCGTGAAGCTCTTCGAGGGGAGCTCGAAGTACTCTACAAACGCGCCGTAACAGAGGAGGTGACGTCGCAAGCACGTGCCAAGAGTGTGCGACGGCCCCTGCATCCGCTTGCTTTTGACAGGAGCTCGACTACGCCGCCGCCGCCCTCCAGGAGGATGGTATCTGCGAGGTGCTAAGCACGGTACCTTGCACATGCCCGGCCCTAAAGCCCGATGGAAAGGTGTCCACAGACGAGGTGGGTTCTGTCGAGCACAGAGCAAGTGAGTGGGGCGACAGAGCAGCACCGGCCGAGGAGAGTGTCGGTATCCTCGGCGAGGCCGCTACGACGGACGCCCAGGCTGCGTTGCCCTGCGAAGCAAAGCTTTGCACGAACAAGTGTTCAATGTCAGGAGGCCGAACAAGTAGCAGCGGCCATGCGGGCGTCCCACAACCACGGCCAGTGGAACCCGGGGCTGCGGCCTCAACCAGGCACTGGGGCTGACTGGCGAATGCCCTGCCTGCAGGACCGGTTCGCAAGGCTCCGATGGTTACTCATGCAGTGGAGGGTCTGGACGAAAAACCTGCCCAGGACGTGAAGAACCGAGAGCAGAGGCACGTAGGGTGCGATGTGCTGTTGGAGCTGAAAGACAGGCTCCCTTCGTAACTTTCTCAGCGACATGCGCAGTGTTTCAGACATGCTCAGCTGCTTCAGCAAAACAGTGCAGCAAGTCTATATTTTTGAAGACCGCTTTCGGTGTCCCGAAGCCGCGCACTCACTGGTCCTGACTTCTGCACTGTGCATTGAGTTCCGGTATCATCTCAAGACGGTAAGCTCCTACAACGTCCGGGGTCGCATGTGCGGCTTGCTGGAGCGAATCTGTCACACGGCACTTGAGGAGGACGCGGCAGGCACCTTTGCAGTGATAGTTGTGCTCTGCACTGCGGGGTCTCGGCACAGAATGACCGGCGCTGCACGGAAATATGTCAAAGAGATTGGGAGAGACACGTAGAAAAGAAAGAGAAAAAGAAAAAAAGGGACAGAGAGGGAGCGACAGAAGGAGGGAGAGAGAGAGAGAGGGAGA